TGGGGCTCTATTCTATGCCCAGGAGTCTGGTCTTGATACCCTCTGTAACAGAACCTTGTGTCGAATCAGGTACAGTTATGTCCAACCACTGGCTATATTGAGAAAATGTGAGACTTACTACATATGGAAATGAGGACCACTAACTCGGATTTTATGGACGACTGGCACGACCCCTTGAAGACGATCCCGTCCACCAAGTTGTCTCTTCCAGGGACAACTTTGGGTGGACCTAGGAAGTGGTGGCTCGGGTAAATTATTCAGGTCTGTTGTGATAAGCTGGAGACGGGCCATGGACCTATATGGTTGGATGAGGATGTTACAGTCGGTTATGTTAGTAAGATATTGTTATCAAGCTAAAAAAAATATGTTTATATAAATAGAATCATCTTTCTAACATGCCACACATAAATGCATTAATGAATCAATAGGTACCTTACACAACTGCTCACAAGATATTTTCTCTTTCACGCAGCTGATAAGATGGTGTTCGCCAACGCTTCCGGTCCTCATGCAGAGGCCTACACCGGTCAGGTTGTCTTCGGATATCCTGAAGGTGTCACCGTGGTGGACCTTGTGCCAGAGAACATCCGGCACATGATCCACCCTCACTGGAACAACTACCCTCCGGTCAACCCCATGTGGCACTATGTGCTCGGTTGCATCTACATCATCCTGGGCTGTCTCTCCTTCTTCGGTTAGTGCCTCTCCCTAGGACGCCATTAGCGTCCTAATGCTATTCTTTTTAATGCTGTCATTTTTTTCATGATAAGAAATTGGCGCTGATGAAGCAGTCAAGCAAAGATTACTGAAAGGTGCTTTTCACACAGGCAATGGGCTGGTCATCCTGCTCTACCTGAAGAACAAGTTCCTACGGACGCCTTCCAATCAGCTGGTCCTCAACCTGGCCATCAGTGACTTCCTCATGCTGATGACGCAGTTCCCCTTCTTCACCTACAACTGCTTCAGCGGAGGAGTGTGGATGTTCAGTGAGACCTTCTGCGAGCTGTATGCCTTCTTCGGTAAGTCAGTCTGCAAGGGTGCTAGAGAATTTGCTTTTGCAAAACAAGCAAGCATGAAACTCTCTTCAAAGAATCATTCCTTTGATCGATCTGGTCCTCACTCCCTTGCCTCTCTCCCCAGGGGCCATCACCGGCATCGCATCCATCTGGACGCTGTCCTTCATCTCCTACGACAGGTACAACGTGATCGTGAAGGGTGTGAGCGGAACGCCCTTGACCTCTGGAAGGGCCACCGCCTTCGTCCTCTTCGCCTGGATCTACGCCATCGCATGGTCGCTGCCTCCCTTCTTCGGCTGGGGAAAGTACATTCCTGAGGGTGAGTGACTCGCGCTGGCCATACATTTGCTTGAATTTCCGAAACTTTTGGGACGCAAGGAAGATAAACATTGCCGTTTCGCACAGGTATCTGGACTCCTGCTCCTTCGATTACCTCACCCGCGATGACAACCTTCGATCCTACGGAATCAGCATCTTCGTCTTCGACTTCTGCGTACCTCTCTTCACCATCGTCTTCTCTTACATTTCCATCGTGAAGGCCATCTTCGCCCACGAGGCCGCCATGAGGGAGCAGGCCAAGAAGATGAACGTGTCCAACCTCAGGTCAAACCAGGTAAACCCTCCACTTTACGTCTTCCAAGGTCAACCATCTTATTTATTCAACATGAGCAAAAGAAATGAAATATCAATTACTATATCTGTTCCCTCCCCGTGACAGGAAGCCCAAGCACAGTCTGCTGAGGTGCGCATCGCCAAGGTCGCGTGCACCAACGTGGCTCTCTGGGTGGTCTGCTGGACTCCCTACGCCGCCATCGTCGTCCAGGTTGGCTCCTTTCCTGTTTCAAACAAGTTGGTTGTGACGCTTTATTTCTTGTATAATTGCAAAGACCGGCATTCGCTGAACATGTTTTTTCTCCCTCCAGGGCCTGTTCTTCAACCAGGGCCCCATCACGCCTCTCGTGACCATGCTGCCCGCCCTCCTGGCAAAGTCCTCTGCCTGCTATAACCCCATGGTCTATGCCATCAACCATCCCAAGTTCAGATTGGTGAGTAAGACTTTAATCATCCAAGTGGAAGATAGATAGATAGATAGATTTACATACATGTAAAGAATCCACCCATTCTGAATGTTTCCGAAAGCCCTTCTAACCGGCCCTCCATCCCTCCCTCCTTGCAGGCCCTCCAGAAGCAGATGCCTTGGTTCTGCATTCACGAGAACACCGAGACGGCCTCCTCCAAGTCCGCCGAGACCAAGTCCGTCGAGTCCAAGGAGGAGAAGGAAGAGGCTGCTTAAATCCCACGACGACGACGACGACAGACAAATGCACGTTACAATGGAATAGGACGGAATTCCCCATGGCGTCGCTGAATGCGTTTCGCTGTCATGGTTCTTACGTTTATTGCAATCTCGATCATCAAATGACCAATAGCTTCTTCCTTCGCTAATCTTTCCTATGACGAAAATAAATCTGGCTTTGGGCAAA